CCAACCAGCGGACTTGACTCCTTTATGGCGGCTAGTGTAATGGAAATGATGATGGATCTAGCCAAACAGGTTTGGACATAAATCTTCTTTTTATGATCCATTAGAAACTATATGGTTGAAAATATTTAAACAAAATTGGTGAAAAATTCATTTTAAAATCTTGCTTACTAAAATATGTGCAAATAAGATTTATATTTTAAAATTTAATAAATTTTTGTGGATTTTTTAAATGTTATCTCAGGGTAGAACTGTTATCTGTACAATTCATCAACCAGCTTCACAGCTGTTCAATAAGTTTGATCGTCTTCTTCTCCTGGCTGAGGGTAGAACAGCGTATCTAGGAGATGCCAAAGGAGCAAGCAAATTTTTCAGTCTGTAAGTATTTTTTAGTCGCCTTTGTCATACCTCATGCCTAAAAGACTAGCTGTCCAAGCCATGGTGCTTAGCCTCCAATTTTTTTTATCTACAACACACGTCATTAAGCTATCTTTCTGGAGCTAGTGTATTCTCAAAACCACTTAACTAATTAATATTATTAAGCCAATGGTACAGGGTTACCCACAAAGAATGAGACTTCAGACTTCTTAGATGCCGGAATTTTTACTCTCTTTTTCCATATATCTATGATTACCTGTAACTTTTTTGCTATATCATTAAGGCAGGAGTCTTAATTTAACCTTGGAAATTTTAAGTTATTTAGGTTTATTAACAGTTTCATCCTTGTATGGTAATAAAGCACGGTATCAAGCGTTCATTTTTAACCTTAATTTTTTTTTAAATTTTGAAATTATATTAATTTTTCACATTTCAGATGCAAGTTTCCTTGTCCTGAGAACTACAACCCTGCAGATCATTTTGTTGAAGTTCTAGCCATAGCACCAGGTTAATTTTAAACACTTTTAGAATTTTTAGGTGTATAGTTTAAGAACATAGCTCAGAAGGGGGGGGGGGATTGGACAAATTCAATGTGCTATGTTCATCTTAACAATTTTTAAAATTATTTTTTAAACCATTTTTAATAAAATATTTCAAAAATATTTGATGAATATTTTGAAAACTTTCTTCTTAATACGAAAATCCAATATCAATCAATATTATATATATCAAACTACAAAGATTAGATACACCTCTACCCATAAAGAATGGTATCTTGAGGACTATTACCCCCCCCCCCCCGTGTACGCTATTGGATTTAGTGCTCCGGTCCTGAACTAAATTATAACTGCATCTTCCTTCCTATCAATGTACTCTATGGCAGATTCCCATAAACACCGTGTACAAATTGTCTGAATTCTTGTGGATAATATCAGAATAACTTTTAGAAGTAAATATACAAGTATGACGTCAAGCTAGAATTTATATCTATTTCTACAAAAGTGTGGATGTATATTATTCTAAGAAGTGAAGTTTTTTTTAAGAAATCTTTCTTTTAAACAAAGAATTGATTAAAGATGTTAAAACAATATCATCTAGTTTTTCTTGATGGTAGTTAAACATTCTATTTTAAGAAATAAGATTTGTTCCGCCTTAAGCAATGTTGTCTTTGTCATTCTTGGACNTGTAACTGTCTTTTTATAAAAATTTTCCATAATTTTAATTAATTGCGTGATCATCCTTTAATTTAAAGTGCCCGCATTTGATATAGAGATCAAGCATCCATAATAAACAATATCCATACCAAAGTTCCCATTTCAGGACATTCATAACAAAAATGAATCAGTTGAAACCTACGAAGTATTTAGCGAAATAAATTAAAATTAAAAGATAAAAGAATGTTCAGTGTTCACAGATGAAAAATAAAATATTGTAAAGAAAATACTCAATCTAGGACTTTTGAATAATAAATTCAAACAAGTACAGATAGGTGCTTTTAATAAGAGAAACGAGGCTGTTAGAAAATAATTATTTGCTCTAATAATGAATTTGAGTTTTTCTACTCCAGGGTACCCGACTTTGCCACAAAGTCTGATTTCATAAATTCTTTTAGATTAAGTAGTCTAATTTTCAAATATTAAAGGTTTTGACCATAAGGTAATATAGAGATTAGCAAATTTGAGTTTTTGGCAAGATCTAATTGGTTACATTGAAAAAGAATAATGTTTCAAAGTTTAGTTTTGTTTATTTTTGAAAGAAAGTTTTAGCAAAGACAGTTTTCTGACAAGTAGTCACAGTTTTTTGACAAATAATTCCTGGGCAAGGGTACACGGAGTTTTTATAAATTATTCAGAGGAATCAACACAAACCTAATAAAACTTTAAAAAATAAATATTTGAAAATAACAACTTCCTAATACTAGGGTTTATTCTTCCTTCCAATTACAAATTAAGTTCGACATTATGAACTGAATATTAGAGATATACATTTTTGTGAGCTATCTCTATCATTCTTTTCAAAATATACATCATAAGGACAGTAATTCGAAATGCTTTCATTATGATTGTTATTTCCAATATAACTTTAACAGTATCTCAAAAAATATTTTTTCCTAATTACGAACAATTATTTGAGTCTCTTGTTACAGTTATAGTTTTAAACTTTAAAAAGAGAAGATAATAGTACAAGTAAGAATGCAATTATACAATCAATTAGAGCGGATTACAGAGAAGATAATGATGATTTATTTCCATCAGGTAGAGAAGATGAATGCAAAGAGAAGGTTGCGTCAATTACCGAGCAATTTGACCAATCCAGGGAGGGAGAGCTTCTGCGTGAAGAGGTATTCCTTCTTATATATCGGTCAACCCAATTAAATACTCTAAAAAATCTTTATCCGTGAAAAATCCCTGACAAATTTATGAAAACAATTATTAGGTAATTTTTTTATTATGACAATGCACGGGCAGCCATAGTACATTTGAATTTCCGATCCGGGTCAACCTTTCCGGTCCCAGTTTGTACTTTACCGCACGGACATCGGGTTTATAAAGAAGACAATCAACAGGACTAGCCGGTGCAACCAGGTTGACGCGGTCAGACTTTATGCTTCATATAGGTTCAATTTACTTTTACTATAAGGGCAGAGGTGCGTGAAAGTTTCTTTAATAATTATCAATTAATATTATTAATTAATTAATAATTATTAATAATTATTTCTGCTGTTTTTGCAGGCGACTCAGAAACTATACTAATGAAAGCCAAGTACATTAATAAAAGAAAAAATCTTAAAAATCATATATTTAGATATTTTAAACTATGAATTCTGTCAGATCAACGTATCTACGTTTGAAATATCAAAATACTTAATTTTTTAAATAAGCCCTTTCAAAACCAACAAATATATTTAATATATTTAATTTTTTCTGTTTACGTCGAAAAATAATCGATGACTATTTTTTGTAATATCTGAATAATTTGTTTGGAATTAAATTGATTTGTTTACGATCCGAGTAGAATGTTGCATCTTTCTGAATTTGTATGGACACTACGTTCTTCGGTGTGAGTCGTTTTTAACAATGTTCTCCTTATAGACGCAACAGATAGAAGTAAGAATAGTAGCGATAAAAAGCGCTTTTTTATCGCATTAAGCCTATACCCCCTTTCGTTTTTCGCGAACACTCCCTTTAAAGTCACACATGACCCTACACACAACTTAAGACGTTTTGTGCAGTCCTAGTATAATTTGCAATATATATTCTATTGATATTAGATTGTTTAGATCCTAACAGAAGAAAAGAATATATCTGAGGAAGAGCAAACTACAACAATGAAGAGATCACCGTATAAGGTTTGCACATTTTATGACACAAAATATTGAACAAAGGAACTTTTTTCTCGTTTTAGATTATAATATTCTAATATTTTAATATTTAATTAGTAAGTAAAAATATTGTAAATTTCATGGGCCCTTCACTACTAGAATGGTATTTCCAATTAACAACAGTACTTTCTAAACCTTGTTTTTATCATAAATGCAAAAAACATCTTCCTTGTACATTAGAATCAATTCATTAACTTTTGCGGCCGAGATAAAGGAATGGAATGGAAAAACGAGGATATTTTCCGAAGTTTTACATTGACAGAGGGTTAAAGCGCATCGTAAATTTAACCTGTCATTCTTTGAAGGGAGTGTTCACAAAAAAGGAAATGGGTATAAGCTTACTCCGAAAAATATTCGATGGTGATTGCTACTAATCTTACTTCTATCTGTTGCATCTAATGGGAGAAAATTGTTAAAAACGACACAATTTTTTAACAATTTTTCCCTTATGAACGCAACAGATAGGAGACGATTAGTAGTGATCACCATCGATAATTTTTCGCCGTAAGCCTATACCCCCTATCATTTTTTGCGAACACTCCCTTTAACTGAAGGGTTACTTGAAATTGCATCTACACTGCTGCTAGGCTTCCTGGTTTACTCAGTTCCGAGCATTGACCTGGAGGAACGCTTTGGCAATCTTTAAGGAACCTGTTCTTATCAAAGCTCGGTTTGGTCAAGCAATAGTAAGTTTTTATTTCGACTTTAAATGGACTGTTCAGGTAAAAGCCTAGAGTTGATTGCGATACATATAATCCCTTTAATGCTATTTTACTCTAAGAACCAGCAATTACTCTCTCAATTATCTATTTCTGAACAAAATGTATCAAAAAAGGGTCATCTCAACTTTCATATAAGATCTAAGTTATTTTCGTTTAAAAATCTGAATTGGTTTCAATGTTGGTTATTTTTCTTCTTCCCTTTGGTTTCACGTTTACAATATTTTAATATTTTAGTATCTTTGCTGGAACAGTTTAAGCAGGAGAATATATTAAAAAATTCAACTTATACAATACTCTTGATAAGGTTTCTTGTAAATTCTTTAAACGTTATAAATATTTTCTGTTTTGGAAAATTTTGAAGAAAACTTAAACATTCTTAATTGGAGTTAGAAGCATTGATGATTTTGACAGCACTTAAGTTTGGCTACCTTTACATTTACAATAAAGTTCTTCGCTCATATATATATATATATATATATTTGTATATATGTTAGCTAGACCATATATATATATATATTTGTATATATGTTAGCTAGACCAAATTGACTGACTTTTTAACCCATGGGTGCAAGGGGGTAACATAGGCTAAAAAAACGATTTTTTTAAAATACAATATTTTTCTTCAACATTTTTTTTATCCACGGGCAACGCAGGGAACTTCAGCTAGTTATTAATAAGATAAGCCTTGTTTTTGTGACACACAATTACCATAATTTTATATTTCTTAATTTGTGAACAGTCCTATTCAGAACTGAACTTATTTTCCACGGGCTTTGAGTTTTACTTTTTAAAATTGGTCTAGCGTCTGTAATGAACGTTCTACTTAACACAACTTATTTTCTCGTTATTTAACAAACATTTGTTTCAGTCTTATCCGGATACGAATTAAATACTTGCACCAATAAATAGCTTTATATTCTTTATTTCTTCGCAACCTGATGATGTTAATTTTCTTTTAAAATGTGAAAATATCATGGGTCAACGGAATTAGGTTGCAAAGATATCTGGATTAGTGTTAACTTTTTTCAATTCTAACCAATTTCTATTTTTTTCTTCTAAAAAATATAGCTAAGTAAAAGTCAAACTGGGTTTTTTAATATTAAAATGTTTCAAACATTGCTAGCGCGGAGTAATGCATGTTGCATATAGTTTTTATTTCAAGAGAGCTCTACATACGATTTGTCACCCAAACATCTATATTTTTACAACTTTGTACTCTCAGGCGTCCATTCTATACTTTTGATTCTATAACGTTGCAAGATACAAATTTTAGATATTTGATATTAAATATTGAAATTATATTAATATTAAATATTAAAAGCATCAGACTGTTGAGTAATGTTTCCAGCGTTTATAGTTTAGAGTTGTGTTATTCTTCTACAAATACTAGTTAAAATACTTATAGGGTATCAGGGCTCTTCCATCTTTTACAAATACGAATTTAAAAATACTATAGGCTATCAGGGCTCTTGATGCACATCTTCTAGTTAAACTTTGTATAAAGTTGCTTAATCTTTAAATTTTAACGATATTTTGTAGGCTAAAAAGCCTAAACACACTTTTTTTCAGAGAAAATAATTTAAAGGTTACGAAAATGTTCTAATCTTTTTATTTTTAGTTGATTTCGATTATTCTGGGAATTATCTTCTTGGGTCAAACTATGGACCAAGCTGGTGAGTAGATTCCACTGAGTTTATTTTTCGTCATTTCGTTCGTCCCTTGCTCGTTAACGACTCATTTCATTGTCTTTTTAATCGTTCAAAAAATCATTTCGTTTGTTCTCAAAATGATCGTTAATTTTCAAAGTATTCCGTTTGTTTTCTCACTAGATGATCGTTCAATACATTTCTTCATTTAGTACGTAAACGATCATTTTTTTCAATTCGTTCAAACGATTTCAAATCAATAGGTTTATCATTTTTTATCGTACAGGTAACAAATCTAGAAGATTTACAGAAATTTTTTATACCAGAAAATTCTATAATAGGAAGACGACTTTTAGAATCTATTTCTAATTTTGAAATGTTGAACGAACACGAGATAGTAGACACAACAACATGGAACAACTAGACAGGAAGCAGAGTTGACGCGTACGGGCGTCTGATAAGCCGGTACGCGTCGTTTGAAAATGCTCAATGCCGGAACCTTTTTGTACAAGATGCACAGTGGGCGTACAGTGGGGCGCTATCTCAATCTTTTTTGCAAATTATAAACTAAGTTTGTGCAGCTATAGGTTAAGGCACTTTCTGGGTCGAGCGCTGCGGCCGGGTTTCATTTCACTAAATTAATAATTTAATAAGTGTCTAGTAAAACTTTCTCAACAAACGCTTAAATATTGCAATGCACTGTTTTCTGATTCTCACAATGCGTCTCTTTCTTCAGGAATTCAGAATATCAACGGAGCGTTCTTCATCTTGGTGACGAATATGTCCTTTGGAAGCATGTTTGCAGTTATAAATGTGTTTTGTGAAGAGCTACCGATATTTCTTAGGTAAATTATCTTATACTTTTACAGAGCTGAAACCTTTAGAATTGTGAATATAGAAATCAATACTTAATCTCCTCTTTTTATTATTCTCAGGACTACAATAGTTTCATCTTTAATTTATATATTCTGAAAATCAACAAAGAGATCGAGTTGCGTATGCAAAGAGAAAAAGAGAGGGTAGGAGTAGAAAATTGGATATTCAGATTGATTCATCGGAATTAAAGATATTCAATTCTATAGTTCCCAACTCAGCTCAGCTCAGCTCAGAGGTCAGAATTGATGAACAGTGAAAAGTGTTTGAACTAGGTAAACCACTGATCGCTGTTCATCAAATCACACCTCTAATTTTGTCCAAGTTGTCAAACCGTTATGTTTGTTGTTGTGCGTTGTCATTTTGTGAAGACATTTTGTTTCATATGGTTTGGTTTTAAATACAAATGTTTCTGAATTCTCATTTTTTTTTATTCCTGCACTTTACTTCAACTATTATTGAACTTGTCTAGCTTTTAACACAAAGAGAATAGAATATATATTAGAGTGGAATTTAGAGAATCTCTCGGTATGAATTTTGCCCAAAAGGTTATATAGCATAAATATGTGAAGTACACCTGCAGCATGGAAACAGTAAAACAAAACGGCCGTTTTACACTTTTTTCTAGTAAATTCCCCTCTAATATATATTCTATTCTCTTTGTCTTAACAGCTTTCTTGATTTTCTTTAAATCTTGACTTTTAAAGAAAATTTTCAGAAATTTTCACAAATAAAGAAATATTTTCATATTAAATTTTAAAGTGGATTATTAAAGTTCAATTCAATTAGTTTGTGGAAATTTTAGGAGAAAAGAATGTTTTTTTAAATATACAAAAGAGGTAATGAGCCATTATAAAATTATGAAATTGTGCATGTGCCGCCGAAAAAAAACATACTCTTAACTCCTATTTCCCCCCCCCCACCTCCCCTTCCCGATTTCATATTGTTGTGACTAAAAACAACTTTGTTCAATCAAATATAAAGTTGTATATTCTAGAGAACACTTTAACGGAATGTACAGAGTGGACACCTATTATCTCACAAGACAGGTTTCATCTTAAACATTTTTTTAAAGGGACAGTTAACGTAATTTTAAGTAGCTCTCTATTCATGGAGTGGTATGTCTGATTTACAACGGTACCCTTTTATATCTTTACATGGTCAATTATGTGATGATATTTTGTTGCGGCACAAATCCGCAACTTACTTTAAAAGTGAAACTCAATTGTAAAATAAACATTTTTTATGTTAAACGCATTTATACCTCAGACATCTTTAATCATACAAAGCTTTTGAGGGAACCGTTGTGAATCGGTTATGTGTCTTCATGAATGGAGGACAATTGAAAATTACGTCTACATTCCTTTTCACTTAATTTAGTCCCTTTTACTTAATTTAGTCCCTTTCACTTAATTTAGTCGGCAGCAATATTGAACTACTAAGAGAAATAAAATTAATTTTTTCGGTGTTAATCATTTTTCAAGATATAAGGATATAATTGATATTAATCTCTTAATCTCTGCGGAGTCTATCAAGGCGTCAAAAGCTGAGTTATACAACTAATCTTTTTAAAAATAAAGTCCAGTAGATATAAACTGTTATTTTACTTCATTAGTTCTAGCTCTCTCATTAAGCTTTAAATAGCATTCTTGGTCTATTTTTTGGTATTTGGAGATTTTTTAATATCTTTTTTTCTTAACTATTTAAGTCTAAACGTTTATACTTCTTAAACTAAATATTCGTAATGAACTATAAAACTTTTTTTTCATGGATATTTTGTAGATTTATTTTATTCTTTTCGTAGTGTGGCTGGCCTTTACTTTATGACAAAAATCTTTTTATAACTATCAAACAAATTCAATTTTAAAATTTGAAATTGGTCTAAACAAACTGAGGCCTTAGCTTTTTTCAGATGCAAATTTACAAGTAAACATTTAAAGATATGTATCCATGCTGTTTGAAAGCTTGGTAGAAATGAAAAAAAATAAAATCGGAAATCGTCTTCATTGTATGGATATAAACACGGACCCCTGTATGGATATAAACACGGACTGTATGTGTGCACATATTTATTTCTAGCTGGTTGATATACCTATGTCTATCATCGAACCTACAATCTTCCTCACAATCCTCTACTTTATGGTTGGGATGGATAGAACACCGGAGAAGTTCTTCATTGCTCTGGGGATAGTTCTATTACTGGTTCAAGTCATCGTATCAATGGGTAAATTATTGAAAAAAACATTGCAATAAAAAATATTTTTTTCTTTCTTTAATATTTGTTCTTTATATATTTTTGTTTTGTATGTTTATATGTATACGATAGACGTTAAAACAGCCTGCACCAATGCAAACCGAAAAGTTCACAAAACATCTCATTGTTATTATTTAATAATTGCTTGGAAACCCGGCTTTTCCGGGAGCTTTTCCCTTTCGCCTACTCAACTTAGAATATTAATACCAAACTAATAAATTTCCCGTGGTTCTCCCAAACAACAGTTTAGGCAAATCGATCCAGGAGGTTTTGAGTTTGGATCAAACATCAAAATTCCAAACCGACAAACAGAGATTACTACTTTATATTTATAGGTGTAGATACTAATTTGAAATGATTGCAAATGAAAAGCAACTAATTGCTTACATCTCCTCGCTAAACGACTAAACCGAATTGTCTGAAATTTTTAAAGAAAAAACATGGGAACCTTGGGGGTAACATAGGCTAAAAAATGATAATCGAATTTTTTTCTGCAAATCCACGGGCAACGCCGGACACTTTAAAGAGAGTCTTTTTCCATAGCTTCATCTTTCCTGATTTCATTCATAAGAATTTAAACCAAAATAAGATATGTTGTAGGTTACTTGATGTCCTGCCTTTCTCCTGATGTAAACATTGCTCTACTAATAGTTCCAGTAGTTCTTATTCCAGTCATGCTGTTCGGAGGATTTTATCTTAATACTGGGTAAGTTTCATGGATTTCGGGTAGTAACGAAAATTTAATTTTTTTTATGTAGATTTTATTTTTATTTAAGAAAACGAATGGTCCTTAAAATCAGTTAAATTATTCAAATTGACATTAAAAAACGAACTTAATCAGTCGTTAACAAACGATGAATAAACGAAATGAAAAAAAATCCGAACGTGCTCCTCTCTACTCCTAACATTTTTTTCAGAAATGTTGGTTGGTTGGTTTGGTTAAAATACCTGTCCTGGTTCCAGTATGGATTTGCTGCACTAATGATAAACCAATGGAGCGATATCACCAACATAACATGTCCCGCACCAGCTGCTAGTGACAGCTTTCTCCAAACTACAACTCTGCCATCTATGTTTGATATTGAGAACTATACTTTGCCGTTAGACTTTACTGCTCAGAACTTGACTGGCCAATCAGGACCCGAGTTTACCCTTCCATGCATCAGAACTGGGAGACAAGTACTTGATCAGCTCAATTTCGACCCAGTAAGTATCAGATTTGATAACTTTGCCATTTCCTGGTTCAAATCATAAATGTTCGCACACTCTTCTGAAGAATCTTTTTTTCTTTCATATCTTTTTATTTCAGGATGATTTGGGATTTAATATTGGATTGTTAGTGGTATTGTCTGTTGGAGCCAGACTCTTGGGGTTTGTTGCAATTTACATGAGAGCAAGAAAGAAGTGAACATATTCTCTCTGAAGTTAACCATTCCATATATGACAATTGTTCTGTTCGTTTTTCATAGTTTGTAAACATATTTCTACTTTGTTTTCATAATTTGAAATAAGTGATTATTAACCTAATCATATTTTATAATTTGCTGATTTGTCAAATATCTACCTCCAATGTTTTCTAATTTTTCCACACAAATGAAATCATAATCAAAATGTAAAATGTAATGTAAGTAAACTAAGACTTAACACTTTTTGACCTGAATAATAAGCATAATCTATAATTAGCATAATGACCTTTATCTGCATTTAGACTTTAACAAAATATTTTATCAAATAAGATCAGGGGGACTGGATCATAGTTACCTCTCCGTGTAAATTGGCCTGAGTGTACACTTGGGATAGTTTACTCTGATAAAGGATATTAACTGATTATGTCCTATTTATACAGTAATAACATCCTATATACAGTACGCTTTCGGATTACTCAGTTTTCTCAGAACAGTTTATAAACGATAATGTTGCTCTCTAATATACTGTAATGCAGGTCTTCCTGTGAAAATTTAATCCTGCACACGATAAAGGAGTATTGGATTTTAATGGTTACATGGAAAACAAATTCTCCACTTAAATATTTTCAGAAATCACCCCCGAGTACTGTAATATACAGATTGACCATTGAAAGTGGAGTACATTGCCTGTACAATTAATAAAAGAATTAGCGTACATCATCACTCTATATACTATAACCTCGATGCATAAAATTTAAAAATCGTACTAAAAAAATTTTAGCCTGATTATTTAATATCGGAAAAATTTCAACGTATGCAAAAATAAATTATGGTTTTCTTGGATTTGATGCATAATTTAAATTCGATATTAACATATTCAGAAATTATTTTACGTACGAACACAAAAACATTTTAAGCGAATTTTTTTTAATATGTAAGGTTAAATACACAAACCCAAGTGCGTTTCGTTTCTAATGTTGATAATGCCTATAACTGTAAAAACTTATATGTTTAGATGTAAATATAAATATTAACGTAAATATATGATTGGAAAATCACTGTATTGTTTTGCTACAAGAGGAAGAAATTGAATCACTGTAAGTTTCAAATTCATTTTAAATTTTGGTTTTCGCAAAGAAATGTACTCCCCTCTGATTTAACCAAAGAGAATAGAATATATATTAGAGGGGAATTTACTAGAAAAAATTGTAAAACGGCCATTTTGTTGTAATTTTTCCATATTGCAGGTGTACTTCACATATTTATGGTATATAACCTTTTGGGCCCTGGAATATCATTTTATAGAAAATCTAAAATCAATATTAAAAGAAAACCAAATTATGAAATAGGCTGGTTTCATAATTGAACTATCATCATTTCACAAAGATTCTATGCCTCTCACTTCACAAACGATGATTTTCCGTTATAACTATAAATCAAATGATCTTATTTATTCACCTAATTCATTATAAAGTTTTAGGCTGAAAGGGACCCCCTCTATGGATTTAAGCCGAAGGGCCACGTAGTACAGTTTAATCTGTACATGAAGTATGCTTGGTAAATATACATGTTTCAACCTTAGTAAGCCACAATATTTGCCAAACATACATTACACGCAAAAAATCTGTCTCATAGCAATATGGCTTGTTGAAGCTTTAACTGAACTAAATTATGATTAATAAAAACAAATATTGTACTGGAGTTCATACCTATTTCAAAGGTGCATTTTAAACATTAATACGGCGGTCTAACATCCATCTTTTACATAAAAAATCAATGAAATATTCTGGTCATAGGAAACTATTATGTGAATTATCAAAATTATCAAAATTAAATGATTCTATCCTCCATGGATGCTAGAGGAACACAGATGCATGCACAGTGTAATAAAACGAAGAGGTAAAGCTAACCTCAGATGTGCAAAAACCGATCTCCCTATTAATTAATTAATAGAGTGGTCGGTTGTGTACATCACGATATGTTTACGTATCTAATACTGTACAATTGTATAGAGAGTGATCCGTATTTCTTGGGGGGGTTTATGAATTTGACAAATTTTTAGAGTTTCTTTCTTTATTCAAAGAGAATTCGAGGATGTTGACTGCAAACATTTGACAATTTTCAAATTTGTAGGTCTTTAATTTATTAGCTAAATGTTATGTCAAAAATATTAAGTTTCTGTGGGCATGCATAATAGCTTAAAACTTGAATAACAATCTTATTTCAAACATTTTAATTCTTTTTTTCCCCTGACTAACATATCCTTCTTTAAAATGGTTTGAGCAAATACAACTTGAGGGATACATGGTGGAGTCTCCCAACCTAAAAAGGTCTAGCCATGCACAATGTTTTGGTATTTTGAAAAAACTCACATTTTTACAAGAAGAATTGTTCGCGCATTTTTTCACGATGCAAAATTTGGTCATATTTTTATCAACATAAACAAACAACTGAACTGGAATGAACTTCAGTACACAATCCATATTAAGTGTCTATCTAATTATCAATACTAATAAGAAGAAAGAAATACGATCACACTCTTTACAAGTGTACAGTGTTAGATACTTAAACATATCGTGATATATACAACCGACTACTCTATTAATTAATTAAGAGGGAGGTCGGTTGTCTACATCTGAGGTAAGCTTAACCTCTTCGTTTTATTACTCTATGGGTGCATGCATCTATTCTTGTTTACAAACATAGCCAAGAGAGAACTAGGTTCAATCGGAGATTGCAATATGTACGCAGAGAATACGCAACAGTAATTAACGTTCCTTGTCTTATTACCTTGATCTTTATAAGATTTCTCTAATTTCCATGTATAATCTATATCTAATCTCCAACGTAGGTTGCCTTGCTACCCTCTGTCTGGCGCTGTGTAAAACACAGAAAATCGTATTCTTCAAGAAAAATAAAGAAAAATACAAATTTTTCGAAAAAAAAGCATAATTATAAAAATTTATTTTCATTCATTAAAAGATTAACAGTAAAGGAAGTGAGTCTTTACCACAAACTCTGTTTTTCTACCCCGATATCTTTTCAACCCAATATCGCGTAGACCTTGGATATTTAAAACTATGAATTCTGTTAGATCAAATAATCCAAGTTTGAAATATCAAAAGTTTACACCATCAGGTTGCGAAGATAAAGGAATTACATTTTTTATTTTGTGGCAAAGACTCAATTCTTTAGTGTCGTAGAGCTTTATCTTCGATAGATAACATTTTATTGATCAATGTTGAAAACAACTCTATCATGATTCATGGCAATTGTCTATTCGGTTGTAAAAGAATTACTTTTGGATTTGCTTTACATCAATTTGATATAACCGTTCAGACCAATAAACCTATCGCTCTATAAAATCTCTGATAGGGTCCCCAGAAACCAATTCTACATCCAATTATAAATTATCGTTTTTAGGATTAATTCACATCGAGACCAGCCAGCTTACTCAATCTGTTTCCGACATTTTCTAATTTATTTTTAGATATTTTTAAATTCTATTCAGCGGGGCATTCAGTATTCAGACACCATCTTCCTACACCTTGAAGTGTCTCCATTGAATAGGTAATATATAGAGCTGAGAATATTCCCTCCCTTATTATATTTAGAGTTTTAGAATGTTTGAAAGTGAAAGTTATTAAAGTTAATATTAAAAAATAGCAAAGAAATTTTTGTCTTTGCCAACAACTCTAGTTTTAAAATCCCTATTTCTTTGCAACCCATTGCCGTAGACCAAATTAAGATTTTTTTCAAAATTGGGTTTTTTAATCAACGTTTATTGAATTCAACGGACAACGCCGGGTACTATAGCTAGTATATTATATATAATTTTTGTTATCTCTTAACCCTAAACAGACTCTAGTTTTTAGCATTTTCTCTCATTTTTGACACTTTCACCTTGATTTTCTAACTTTTAACGAATAGTAATTTTTATTTTATGAATGCGTAGGGTACAGGGCGGTAGAAAGTCCGGTCCGTGTTATAAAAAATTTAATAGCCAATAATTTGTTTGTTACTAAAGCTACAGATCTAAAAAATCTTAGATAATAAGTGTAGAAATATGTGTCACATCCTAATATTTTTTTAAAAACATTTTTCCGACAGTTTTTTGGATTTTTTTTCAAAACTTCCTAGCACCAAACTATTAAAGTTTGTGGTCTAATTTTTTAATAAGCTGGCCATAATACATTGGGTAGTGGACATGCATTGCAACCATAACTTTACTCTAAGGCCTTTGCTGGGATGCCCCCACCCACTCCCAGCAGCTGTACATAGATTTAGACCCCCCAGCATTTATAGGGTTAACCTACAGCAGCGTTATAATCATAATTTATTCATAAAAAATCTCTAATTTAATTTTTCTTTAAGTGATAAGGTTTCTCAAATATTTTATTATATTCAATTCAACTTCAGGAGAATAGGGTAGGGGGGGGGGGGAGTATTGAATGGGATTCCTTCCCCCTTTTCACAAATGTTCTTAGATCTTAATCAAGAAATACAAATTATTTAAAAACTAAGATATAAAATTGTCATTTAAAAGTTATTTAATATATCAGCATGGATATCTAGGGAGAGCTTGTGACCTAGATATAGTATATTAAGTATATGTAGGAGTAGGTGGGGGCGGTAGAGATGGGAGCGTTAGATTTTTTTCATTCCGTTCGTTCGTCGCTTTCTTCTATTGTTTATAAAAACTATTTTGTTTGTTTACTCGCTATCATTCAATACAATCGTTCGTAAAACAATAAAATTTTTTCGGTAAAAAACTTTCGTTTTTTTAAAGATTGTTTAAACGTTAAAATTTAAAACGTTCTTTTTTTAGTTGGTTTAAAGTTTTTTTTTTCATTTCTCTGAACGATCCAAGTTGTTCTTCCTTATTTCTTTTTATTTTGAACAACATCGAAAAAAAGTTTTCGTTCTCAAAAATATCGGTCGTTCACTAAAACAATGGCCGTCTCTAGATAGGAGGGAGAGATTAGGAGATGTGAGGAGAGGAGAGAGAGGGGGGTTGGAGGAGGTTTAAAAACTAAGCTGCTAGGCTGTATACTTTTTTAAAAAAGAATTTGCTTTCTTCACATTTCAAGTTCATGTTTATATCAAGGGAAAGATAGGGGAATATTTGACTTATATGCGTATGAACACAGAAGTGTGCTGGCCCCCCCAAAAAAGAGATTTTTAAAATTAGAGCTTCAAATTTGGACCAGTAAAAACTTTTCGGAACCATTTCTGTAGCTGGTGAGGATCATTAAAAAAGTTTTGAAATTAACAGCGGAACGTTTTTTTGACCGAATTAAGATTATATATACTTTTATTGATTATTGATTGGGCTAAACAAGTTGACAAAACGATTATTCCAGATCAATTCAATATGGAAAATATCCCCGTAATTTTTTTAAAATGTCACTCCAAGCTTTGTGTATTATGACAGGAGTAGATTTATTTGAAATTCAGTCAAGAAAGTTTCTGCCACCATTAATTTCCAATAGTTTAAATGATTTAAAATTCTAAACAGCTTTAGGAAAGTTTCTGTAAGGGGCCTTTCAATACAGGTCCAAATTTATCCGATAAAAATAGAAACCCTATTAAAATTGTCTTGTTTAGGCTTCGAATTAAACACTATTTTTGTTTTCACCTTGCATACTGACATAGACACATCTTTGAAAAGTGTTGAATAGTGTATACAGTATCTGCAAAACAAAAATAATGCCAAAGTTACAGAAAGCCAATATTTTAAACTTTGACAATTTAAACATCATGGATTCTTGCAATTGTCAGAAAACATGTTGCACTGACGTTCAAATTGGTAGCATAACATCAAAAATGTTCTTGTTTCGCGAGCTAATTTACTCGCTTAAAAATATCCTAGAGTTAGCGAACCTCGTCATGTTCTGCTAAAGGTTGATTGGAACTTCCACTAAGCCTCAGACTCTCCAAATCTCTTCTTTAAGACCTTCCTCTCGAAAATAACAGTGCTCTGGTTAAGGGTTACATGGTTTAATCTAAAAAAGATTGACCAAGATTATTTTTTTTAAACAAAAGTTTATTTACAAAA